GAATCGTGTCAAATAAAACTAAAGTCGAATCGTGTCAAATAAAACTAAAGTCGAATCGCGTCAAATAAAACAAAAGAATCAACTTTGATACTTTTGTTTTATTGCGATTTCTTTTTTCTTTTTATATTTTTTATGCAGAATGAAACTTTTTAGTAATTAATACAATACGAACTTTTCGTTACTCATTTATAGAATATTTTAGCACCTTTGCAAGGTGTACATTGCCACTAGATTTACTAACTTTTATATTAAAAAATAATTTAACAGATTGTGCCCCCAACACTGTTATAGCTTTAAGAATGCTCTTGACACTTTCGGTTTCCGTGGCTAGCGGTGAGCGAAGCTTCTCAAATCTCAAACTGATAAAAAAACATATTTAAGAACGTCTATGCAGCAAGAAAGACTTGCTGGATTAGATACTCTATCAAGTGAGCATGATATTGCTAGAAACATTGAACTGACGGAACTCGTTTCTACATTCGCAAATTAAAAAGCGTGAAAAGTGAAGTTTTGGAATTGTTTATTAATATATTATGAAGTTACACGAATATATTATAAATTTATAATTATTATAAATAATATATTGTAAAGTTACACAAATATACGTTTATTTAAGACTATGCATGTATATATTCTTCCGAATATAAATACAAAATGTAATAACATAACTTAAGTATTCCTTTGTGAAAGTAAGTTGGGGAAGAGGGGCGCAGTGTGTCAAATTTGCCTAGGGTGCTAAATACTCTAGTGCCGGCCCTGTATTGATGAATTAGTAAACTCAAACAAGTTAGTTATCTACTTTTATCTGTCGAAAATGGCCAGCGTGTTTTTAACCTAAATAAACATAACAACATAAATAAACATCATTACATTCTGGGATTGACCTTTCCTAAAGGATGCATCACTAAATTCTTGGATAAGACGAGTCTCTGACTGATAAATAACATTTTATACTAGAATGCGGCTTTGCAGAACCTATCAAAGATGTTTCTAGTATGAAAAAACCAAATCCTTTCTCTACTTTTTTAAGACAAAAAATTATAAACAAAAAAAAAAAAAAGGAAGGGGGGGTTAAGCTTTATGCTAAACATTTTGCTTAACTTTATTTTAATATTTTAAATTTAATAAATAAAACTGAAATTTGTACAAAAAGTTGCAAAAAGTACATCTAATATATAGAATATTAAAAAATTTAAAAAAGAATATATAGATTTAATAAAATATATAAATTTAATAGAATATGTAGATTTAAAAAATTTAAAAAAGATTTAATATATAGAATATATAGAGCATTTAAAATAAAATTAAAGCAGCTTTGCTTTTAAGCGTAGTAAGTAATTACACTATAAGAACTAAATAACAGACTCCAGTAAGGAGGTCTTTAAGGCTAGGTTGGGGTGGTGGGAGTTGGTGGGCATTGTAAATATGATTTTGTATTAATAAATATAAACGAATTTTTTATTGCATGTCAGCTTGATTATTTCTTTTGTTGCGTACTTTGAACAAATATATATATTTATATATACCTAACGCTCGCTAACTTAATTTATTAATTAACAATGAGTTGAATAACTTTTTGTTAATATATTTTTATTTTATGAAATGCATAATTTTTAAAAGTAATCACTATATATATATATATATATATATATATATATATATATATATATATATATATATATATATATATATATATATATATATATATATATATACATATATATATATATTTAAACAATTTTAAAATGTATTCTACAAAATAGAGTGCTCAATGTTCTTAAAAGAACAGAGCAATTATAAACTATATATATATATATATGTATATATATATATATATATATATATATATATATATATATATATATATATATATATATATATATATATATATATATATATATATATATATATTTAAACAATTTTAAAATGTATTCTACAAAATAGAGTGCTCAATGTTCTTAAAAGAACAGAGCAATTATAAACTATATATATATATATATATATATATATATATATATATATATATATATATATATATATATATATATATATATATATATATATATATATATATATATATATATATATATATATATATTATATATACATATATATATATATATTTAAACAATTTTAAAATGTATTCTACAAAATAGAGTGCTCAATGTTCTTAAAAGAACAGAGCAATTATAAACTATATATATATATATATATATATATATATATATATATATATATATATATATATATATATATATATATATATATACAGCTTTAGGAATTGGATTTGGTCGGATGCAATTTCTAAAATATGCTGAAAATTTTGCTTTAAAATATAAAAAGCATTCAAGAATGAAACTCTTTCAGAAAAATGGTGGCGTGGGATCTGGAAAAGCACAAAGATTTAATTTGACGTCAACCAGAAGGTGCAGCAGCTATTAGACATCAGTGTATGAATGTTTGTAAAGTGTTGAAATATTTTTCCACTCTTAAAAATGTGTTAACGGAAAAAAACCTACTTCAGAAACAGCAAAACATTTGGAATTCGGATGAGGCTGGGATGCAGTTTGATTATTGTCCTGGAAAAAAAGTTGCTAAAAAAAAGAGTTAAGTATCTACAATGCCGTCAATCAGGTTACCAGGAAACAATTAGAGTAATAGCTTGTGTCAATGCAATGGGTAACTCTTTTCCACCACATTTCATATTTAAAGGAAAAAATAATATTCTTGAGTATTAAATTAAATACTAATACTCTTAAATACTAATACTCTTGAGTTTCTAATTTGAAAATGCCCTAGAAAAAAGTAAATGAAGTGTTTCAGACAGTGGTGGGACAAAGCAAGGCATTGCGTTTCTATGGTTTACAAAGACATTTCTTTCCGGAAAATTTGAATTTTTATAAATGTATTTGAACTTGTTTACTCTTACAATATAAAAAAGCTCTCATTTTTTAAATAAAGTTTATTTTTTTTGGTTTTTACAGAAATTTCATTGCCTTTGACTAAGTTGCCCTAAACGGGGCAAACGAGCACAGGAATTCTATATATGTTTTTGGTTTTTATAAATCTGTATGAACTTGTTTACTCTGACAATATGAAAAAGCGCTTGTTCTTTAACTAAAGTTTATTTTAATTATTTTTACAGTACCTTAATTGTTCCCAGCCAAATCACCTCGTTTCGAGGAATTATACCTGAAATTTTTACAATTTTTTTTTTTTTTTATAAATGTAAATGAATTTGTTCACTCTCACTCTAAAGTTAGTTTTTACGGTTTAACAGAGCTTTTTGTACTCTTGGCCCAATTTGCCCCAAAATGGGAAAACGGGCTCTATGTATTTCTACATACTTACCTAACATTTATTAATATAAACGAATTTGTTTATTTTGACAGTTTGAATAAGCTCCTTTTTTAACTAAAATTAATTTTTATTGTTTTTACAAAGCTTTGATTGTTCTTGACGCAATTGCCCTAAATGGGGGAAATAAGCCCTAAGATTTTTATGTATTTTCTGGATTTTTATAAATACAAATGAATTTGTTTACTCTGACATTTGAAAAACCTCTTTTTCCTTATCTAAAGTTAATTTTTACGGTTTTAACAAAGCTTTTATAGCTTTGGTCTAATTGCCCCAAATGGGGCAAACAAGCAGTGGAATCCTTACCTAGGGGCCCCTAATATGAGAACAATAATTTGTAGAGTTGAAGGCTTTGATTCTTTAGTAAAAAACAAAATAATAAAAATAGTTTAGTATAAGAACTTCAATGAAATTCTTTCTCATTGATGGCATTTGAAAAATAAATTAACTTTCAAAATATGGTGTTATAAATCCTTAAGGAAAACTCATCAAATCTTTACACAAAATAGGCGTTGTTAAGCCTATTGATTATAAAATCAAAATTTGGTAAGACTATTTTGTTCTAGAGTCTTTGGTCTTTGCTTTTACGGCAAAAAGGGGCAATAAGATTGTTATTAATTCGAGGATTATATTCGTATTTAGGTTTCATGCAATAAAGATTTTGTAATACATTTGGCAACAAATTTTCTCTACATTTAAACATGAAATATTAAAGACATTTAGTTGATATACATTCAGGCACGCCGAAAGGGCCTAAGGGCAGGGGTGGCAAACCAAAAAACAAAGGCACTTTCAAAAATATCAACAAAATGTTTTACTATATATAATATCAAATATAAATAAACCTTTTATTTAACCCTACCGTTCTCTAAAAATACATAAAAAAAGTTATCTTACGTACGCTAATATTACAAGGGCAAATATACACAAACCCAAATTGAGTACTATTTATATAACAAACTTGGATTAGTCCCATCGCATTTTTTAGATAACTTCTTTCAAGTAAACTCTAATTAATATATAACAAAAGCAACAGGCAACTTCACACTGCCTAAAAGAACAACAAAGTTCTCACGGTTTTTTATTTCCTACTGGGCTCCGTACCTATATTACAAAATAATATCCAAAAATATAGAACTTAAAATATTAAACAATCCTTTCAACTTGAAAAAAAAATTAAAACACCTCATACTTAATATCAACAATTATATCGACATGTAATAAACGTATCATTAAAAATTATACTAAAAATTATACTAAAATATTTATGTGTATCTTTGACTCTATATTGTTTAATCACTTTTGACTATATATAAAAATGAAATAGACTTTATTTGACCATTTAAAGAGGTACACGATGATAAGTCTTCTTAGACTTCTACGAGTTTTCCTTTACAACAGCATGTATATATCTGAAGTAACAAAAAATTTCTTGTCTTTTTTTTTTTTTTTTTACTTTTATTATTCTAATTCTTTTATTTTTACAAAATACCGGTACCGGTAGTTTTTATGATAAGAAACACAAGTAATTTACGCTATACTTAATCACACTTGTTAAACCACTTTCAAAAAAAAATATCTTTATGAGACAAAAACAAATTTGTGTCATCTGCAAAATTTATTGTTATTAATTTTGATTATATATGAAGATGTTATATTCATTAATAGATGAGATATAAAATCTTTATTGTTAACAAACTGTTTACGGTTAGTAAGATAACTTTCAAACCATAACAGGGTTTTATCTTTAATACCATATGATATTAGTTTTTTTAACAGGATTTGATGATTGACGGTATCAAATGCCTTAGACAAATCAATAAACACTCCTTGTGTAAAACAAGAGTCTTTAAAAAAGTCAGTTATATTGCGCGTAGAATTATTTTTTTTTTAACCAAATTTGTTTTCGTATATACATTTTTGTTTTCAACAAGATAACGTAGATTCGGTTGTAAATTATTCTTTCTAAAATTTTAAAGAAAAAACTGGAAGAACTGGAAGACATCATTTTAAAACTTTATTGCAGATTCGAAATCCCTATAAATTTCTTCACCAAAATAATCCTCCTTGTTTTTCAAATTGAAAAAAAATTGATTTAATCTACTATTGCTATAACTATAAAATATAACCTTCCTAAACTTATTATATTTCAAAAGTGTTTTGAAGAAAGTTTGTGTAGCCTGGTAACCAAGAGGTCCAAAGTTCGAATCAGGCTCTAGTCCATGTCCAAGCGACATTGGTAAGGAAGGAGGTGTCAACTCCTTGGTTAAATGCTCTTCCGCGGTGCTCTGCGATATGACCGTAAGAACTTCTAAAAAAAAAAAAAAATAAGCTAAAAAATTCTTGGAAATTGCTTTTAAAAAATTACAAAAATCAAGTTTACAAAAATGCGCAGGCCACTAATGCTAGGAACCGTAGTATTTTTAGAAATGAAAAAAGTCTCGTGAAGAGTCCTTACTAGGCCAATCAAGCCAAAGATCTTCAGATCTAAAGTTTTTAGAAACAAGATTATAAGGCCAAGTAGTAATAACAAAAATAAAAACAATAAGTCCATTGCATTTTAACATTTTATGTATTAATAAATAGATAACTAAGTCATTTAACAATTTTAGTGAATGAATATTATTTTTATAACCAAATTTAGAATTTCTTTTAACTCCTCTTTTTAAAAAGTAATTTAAAAAAATCTAATATTGATTATTTTTTGATGTATTTAAAGTTGTGTGTCTGAAGGCATATGTGAATCGAATTAGTTAAAACACTTACCTAATTTATTTTTATTCCTGAAATCATTATGCAAAATTTCTGTAATAACCGTTTGTATCTTTAATAACAATTTCAAGTAAAAAGTAACAAATATTAAAGTTCAAATATTACTATATCTTTTATGCGCATGCGCGAATTTTTCTTATACCACCATCAAAGGGAATTTGATTTATCAAAAAACTTTTATTCTTTTTATACATTAGGAAATAAAAAAATTTGATTTTTTTACTTCCTAATGAATAAAAAGATAAGATTTAAAAATGAACTTTCTAAAGAAACCTAGAAACTTTATGAACCAGACTTATAATCAAGTCGAGCATTTTTAAACATGTCAATTTATCCTCAGATTTTTGTCTAAATAAAATATATTTGAAAAGTATATATGACTTTATCAAATCAAGAATCATATTTAAACAAAAAAATCTCTACAAGAGGTTTTTTTGTTTAACTATGGAACCTCTTGTTTCCTCATGTATGCATACAAAAAATCTCTCTCTCTCTCTTTCTCTCTCTCTCTCTCTCTCTCTCTCTATATATATATATATATATATATATATATATATATATATATATATATATATATATATATATATATATATATATATATATATATATATATATATATAAACCTTTATTTATATATATATATATATATATATATATATTATATATATATATATATATATATATAAACCTTTATTTATATATATAAACATATATATATAAACATATATATATAAACATATATATATAAACATATATATATATATATATATATATATATATATATATATATATATATATATATATATATATATATATATATATATATATATATGTATATATAATTTTTTTTGATTTCTACACACCTGATTTGTAAAAGTTTGTTTTAAGATTAAAGTATATATCTAAACTGATAATTGATGTTCCTAATATTTTGTTGATTTGGGATTTAAGTGATTGAATACTTTGAACTGTTTGCAAAATCATAAATTCAGCGGCAACATTTTAATATATTGCCTAAGAAAAAGGTCATTTTAGTAGCCACAGTACACATTACGTATAATGCGTGTTTATTAGCGAGAGTTTACCAAAAAGAATGCAAAAAAAAAAAAAATTTAATCTAAAAAATCTTTTCAACTTTTTTTGCTCTAAAATACAAATAGTTAATTTATTTTTATCAAAAGTTTAATTAATTTCATAATTTTATCAAAAACTAAAAATATATATTGTTATTATATACTTATCAAAATAAGAATATAATAAAATACTCTTATTATAATAAGTATATATATATATATATATATATATATATATATATATATATATATATATATATATATATATATATATATATATATATATATATATATATAT